TAGGTTTTGGTTCAAGTTCATCTGCAAAAAAAGATTTCACTTTGTTATATTTAATAAAGGTTACTTAAAATTGATTTTAAATTTAAAGATACAAACTCGATAATATGCGTATAGGCCAATCTTCTTTTTTGATACCAGGTAAAAGTTTATTAATATTTCTAAATTCGGCAAATTCATCATCTATTTCAATATAGTAGACCATTTCAGGGATACTAAAAGTTGTCTTTTTAATAGTCATATTTAAAGAATATTTGTCTTTGCTAAGAACACATTCTGGGCTTATGCATTTAAATCTTTGACGTAACATATACTCCCCATCATTATAAAGATAAATCGAGGCATTTTTGTCCTTTAACTCGATTGGATGGACAAAAGTGATGTTTATCATATTTGTATCAATGGAAATTCTTTCATCCCATAAGGGCCAAGTTTTTTTTATATGAAGATTATTGAGCCTATTTCCTAAAAATAAAAAGTGTAAATAGATTATTAAAAAAATTTTTCTTTTTTCCAAATTATCAAAAAAATATTCACTTTCAGGAATAAACTGGGATATGTTTATAGATTTTAATTCCCAATTAAACTCATCGATATCGGCTGCTATTATTAATTCTTCATTATGAAGGACCAATGAAGCATATCCAAACTGAGAAGTAAAGTTCAAGGACCCTCCATAAAATTCTGTTGTTATAATATCATTGGTTTTAGCATTAAATAATATCAAGATTATTGATTTTGTTGCTCGTAAGTAAAATTGTATCAAAAAATCAACTTTTGAGGCCGGAAATGCCATAAGGGAAGAACCATAATCAATAGAAATTGATAAATTTTTCGTTTTGACTTTAAAATCATCAAATGAGGGTAAATAATCGATTTCCGCCAATATAAATCGCTGATCATTCGATAGTATCAAGCAAGAATATTTATAATTGATTTCCGTATCAGCTTTACATTTTGTTTCCATTATAAGTGTTGATGTCTCATTAGTTAAATTAAGATGGCTTATTTTATTTGATTTTGAGTCGGGTTGTAATAATGTAAGATACGCTGGATTCAGCCCATTAAAAAATTTACTATCCCGGACGTAAGATATAATTCCATAACCTTCTTTTGTCGGAAACAAACTATCCGGAAATACTGTTAAATTTGGTCCAATAGTATACTTGTCTTCTTGATATATAACAAATTGGCCATCACTTTTCAATGGAGAAAATTCGTTAGAATAAAGTATGTTTCAATTGTAGAATATAAATAAAATACTCACTCTTCATTGTAATTGTATTCTCTATAAAACAAATAACTTCCTTCAGAGACTAAAAATAATGACCTATATTCATCGTAAAAATCATTTTGAATGATTTGTGGAGTTCCAATTTCCAAGTCCGATATTGTAATCGTTGTATCATTCCAAATAATATTGTCAGACCAGTCTGCTATCACTACAGTGTATTGACGAAGCACATTTATGTATATCATTAGAACATGATTTGCTTTAATTGGTATTATCGTTTTAATAGAACAATTTTTATTTATATTTATAGATGGGCACAATCGAGTAAAAGCGTACAAATATTTTATAGTTTTGTTTGGATGAAGTAATCTAACGCTGTTAACAAAAATTTCGGAAGTTGCATAATAGAAATCAGCAGCCAATTCAGCTTCATCTACCAATAGAATAGTCCCATCAGGAAATCGATCGATGTCTAATTGATTGAATTCAGCTCGATATATGTCGATATTTTCAAATTCTATCGAATAGCATGATAATGATAATAGAATGATGATAACGGGCACAATCGTTATAAAGAAGATATGGCAATTTTTTGAATTCTTTAGCATATTCATGGATAATTTATTTTTTTTTTTTTGAAAATCCAATCGCATTTTAAATTCCGAAAATTTCCCAATTTGACTTTGCCGATCGGCAGTTTTTTTTTTTTTGTTCTCCAAACAAATGAAACAAATGTTATGATTTGCACACATAAATACTCATAAATATTTAATTTACTGTGAGCTTATATTTTCATTATTAGTTAAGAAATCTTAGCTTCTTGTTTAGGCAAAAAATGCAGTACTAAGATTTAATATTAATTAATATTTTATATATTACTTAATATATAAAATATATAAATAAAAAAAATCAAGTTAATTATTTATATTTTACATTATTATTATATTTTTTATTTTTATTAATTTTTAAGTTAAATGAATATAATAATTATTTGAAATTATATTAAAATAAGAATCTTTTTATTAATATTAATGATCATATATTTTTTTTATATTTAAATAAAATATTATTTACATTCCATGAAAAGTAAGTTTTTTTGCTTAGTGATAAGCCGAGCCTCTTTATTTCGGCTCGGCATCGGTCAATCAAACAGCCATTTTAATCCGGATTTCAAACCGTCGCATCTAGCTTACATAACTTGTTAAAAACGCCTGCGAAACTTGTTTCTGTCGAGGAAACGTTTCCGGAGGCAAAGAAAATCACTTACGGATCGTTTTCTTTGATCTCTGTTGTTTTTCCTTTGAAGAAAACGCATCCGAAGGCGTTTCTTTTGATGGAATCACTTCCGGAGGCTTTTCCTTTGAAGGAAATCGTTTCGAGGCATTTTGCCAT